GTCATCCTGTGCCACCTGCTATCACTTAATTAGTATAATCATCTAATTTCCAGTTGGAAATAAAGGCATCATGCACTTTTTAGTAATTGTAACAATCATAATATATTCCAAATTATGTTACACTGACATTATGTGCTTTAGACATTTTAGGAGGGGGTATTTGCTTTGCATTTGCGCACCGGTCTTTCTGATCTTGACTCCCACCCAGCAGCAAAAGGCCATAACCTGTTTTCTGTGTTACTGTGATCCTAAAAATATCACTGATTCATATCATAACTCTGCAAATGAGCTTTTGGTAAGTATGATTTAACATTTAGTGGACAGAGAAAAGAATAAGTAATGGAAGCACCAGCTCATCATAATATAAAAAGCACCCAAGTTTCAAAGAATTTGATCTGGTTTGTTAGCAAAATCTAATTTTTTTAAAAAAGAAACGTTGGTGATCTCATATGCAAGTTGGATTTTATATACATTCTGTTTAGGATTCTCAGTTTAAGGAATAATCTCAGTTGATCAGAACACGTCTTAATGTTTAAACATTACTATATTGCAGCATTTTTTTCCTCCTGAAGATTACATCACAGCAAATGAATAGGTAATAAATGGGTCAGTTTGGGGCAGCTTCATTTCACTGGACGGTTCTGGGCTATGCTTCAAAAAACAGAAAGAGAGAGAAAAAGAGAAAGAAATAGGCAATGACATGAAGGGACACAGGCAAACCTGAGCCACGGTCAGAGTAAACCCTCCCCCATTCCCAATGATACTGTCTGGCCAAGCAAAGCACTGCCACATATATATCAGGCAAGGTTATTACCACTCTGCTCTGTAAACATGCTATGCCTCCTGGACATCTTCTATTTTTATTTCATTTTTGTGTTATATCTTATATGTAAATCTAAGCTGGCGAGAGTCAGAAGGCATTCATAGCATTGGGCCAAATTCATTCCAGGTGCAGTTCCAGGTCCATTGACTTCAATGAAATTACACCTGGGATGAATTTGGTCTATTATTAACTATAGAGATTACATGTCCAGCTTCCTTAGTATACTAAAATACCCAGAATACATATAAATAATGAAGTATGTAATTACAGTTCTGGTTTTAATTTGTGTTCCTAAATGTGCTGATGCTTTTGCACATGTTTATAGTTATAACTATGCTATTGTAGTATATTTTTGTTTAGAACAAATATATTTGAGTTTTTCTCTAAAACAGAGATACACGCTTAATGTTTACTTTCAAACGTCTCAGTAAGTCTTTCAAAATCCATATGATGGCTGATTCCATAATTACAATATTAAATTATAAGAGCCTTAAATATCGTGTGTGTGTGTGTGTGTATATATATATATATGAACATATGCAGCGCATCACGATACTGCCACTTAAAAACATTCTGCAAACAATGAGCTTAAGTTCTTATTGATTATATGTTAATCAATACACACAAATAGGTGATCTTACCGGAGTTGGTAGGAGCCAATAGAACTGTTACCTGTCAATATTAAAGATTTCATTCATTTGTATGTTTCCCGTTCCAAACAGTACATAACAAGTCAGTTGACAGGAATTTGTTCTTGACCAAAACGAAAAGCTAGGCAGTTTTTAAACGGGCTCTTCCTTCATCAGGAGACTTAAAAGCATAAGTATGACTTACCTCTGCATACATCTTCTAATTCTGTTCACTTGCTCTGTATCGTTTTGTACATTCCTGCATCTTGCAGTATTACACACTGTTAAGACCTAGTACGCGAGTTAAAGTCAGATGACGCTAACGAATCCCAGCGCAAATGACTGAATCAATAAGAAACCAGCCACTGCTGTTTAAGTGTATCGATAAATGTACCTTTATTTTCTCTTGAATGGATAAGTGTCGCAGTTAAGAGTCCTATGGATCTCTTAATTGAAAGTTAATTTTAAATCAATAAAGAGAGTCATTTAAATATTGATCAATCCTTTCTACACGAATTGTTAGCTGATTTTTTTTTTGAAACAACTTTGTTTAAATGCAATCAATAGCCCACAATCAGTGCGTTCCATAAAAAATTGACAGATGTTCCCAAAATGCCTGCTAGGCATAATCTTATCTGTTTACATATGTAGCATAGATATTTCAGTCCTTTTCAAATGTACCTAGGTACCTATGGCAGAAATGTTCTTTCCTTAAATACCAAACTACACTATTAAAACACATTCTTCCCCTTGTTTTTCATTAAGGTGGTTTAAAATTAAAAAGGAAGATTTCTTGGATTTCCTTTGACTGTATAAGTAATATTCCTATTGTTTTATTAATGCAGGCAGACTGCAAAAGAAGAATGCCCTTGTTTTGCTCACAGGGAAAAGAGATATAAGCGCTTATTTGAAGCACATGTACTCTGGAATTTGTGTGTCATAATCCATCAGATGTGCTACTATATGCAAAATGATACTTAGCTTTTAATTATATAGACATTTCTGTGCACAGTGTATGTGCATGTTGAATAGTTATCATTTTTAGCTTTATTTCTTGGATATAATCTCTCATTCTTCATAGCAGCACATAGCCAGATTTTCTTTCGTTTCAATTTGACAAAGCACACAGATAAGTTAAAAGGATACAAATTTCATTTCATGAGATTCGTTGAGATTGACCTAATAAAATAAACTTAGCTACATGTGACTTTCAACATTTCAGCAAATACGACACTCTTCTAACATGCCTTGCCGCAGCACTTTCAGTAATTTGCCTGTATGGCCTGCTACAACTTAGTTTGTCACACCTCGTGATGAAGTCAGATTGGACATGTGGTACAAGCAATATGAATTGCATTTTTCTCCTGTACCCTCTAATTAATTATACAGTCATACTTTGATGTACACAGCTCTGAAGTCCTGAAGTTGTCCTTTATTATTATTTTCCTTATTTTTCAATTTTCAAATCCAGTGTCTTTTAAAGAAGATTTTTACTTCTAAGTAATTAAGCCCTTTTTGAAGTATGAAAGGATAAAGTTAATTATAACAAATCACAAAATTATATATATACAATTTTGTCAAAAGTAACATTTTTGTTTTCAGGGATATGACTTAAATATAAAATAAAACTGACTGACCATTATTTTGACTGACATTTGACTGAAATGTATTACCATATTTGTATTTCCTTTCTAAGTGACAAACTAAAAATGAAGTCCTGTAATTAAAACTGTTTATAACACATAGTAAGTTAAGGCAGAAAATAATAAACAAAATATTTTTTTTCTTTTCAAGAAAAGAATCCTTCGTCTAAAGAGAATAGGGGTTGCTTGGGGAAAAAAAATCTGTCATGCAATATAATTTACTCTGTTTTTGCTATTAATACAAATGCTTCCTGCTGTTCTGAAAATCCTCTATTTCTTAATCCAACATTATTGTCCTCTTACTGCTACATTTCAAACCCATTTTGTTCCCTTTTTTGTTAGAAAAGCCATACTAAAAGGGAAGATTAAAAAGAAACGGCCAGGTATCATCAGTTCATATGCATATAGGTTCAGCATGTGAGGATGCTGTTTCTAGGATCGGCCTTAAGATGTGACTGATAGATCTTATTTGTCTGATAGAGTTGACCAGGGAAATAGAGCTACAGCTGGTTACTTCATTAGGTCCTCTCATTGATTGAACCCTGCTGAAGTGATGCAGCAGGCTCCTGAGATAACTGCTGGTAATAGAACAAAATGAATTCTTATCACAGAGATTGGAAAGGCCATTAACCCTGGCCTCCAATGCTTTTCAGAGGTCACAGACAGGAAGCCAAGCGGTGACTGGGAAAACTGTTTTCTGTCTAACTACAGGTCATGTTAGAGGGGGTGTGTGACTTTTTTACCCTTCGGCTTCTGTACAGATGAAACTGTTACACTGGCAGATGTTAATAATCAGCTGTAAATAAATATTGGAAGCAGAAGAAGAAAAATGAGAAAGCACAGGAATTTATTTCAATAAATATTTAATAAAAGAGCAATTGTTACTGTGATATTTACTGCCAGTTCTGCTGTAGATTTTTGCCTAATACTTTTCCATATAAATTGAAAAGAGAAATACATAGAGGCACTTAAAAAAGGAAATTTAATATGGTTTTATATAAAAATACCTTTCCTTCCTTCCTTCAAAGATGAGGATTATAATTGCCTGCTGCCTGCCTGCTTGCCTTATTCAGCAAGCCTATCGCCAGTTCATCTGTGAATTAGTGCAGGGCGCTGTTTGCCTTTCACCTGGTTGAGAAGGGTATATATCTAAGTAACAGTCCTATAATTTACATTTAATGCAACCTTTCAATTGACCAAAAGCCCACAACCTAAGCCCCCATCTCACAGCTGAGGACTTTCCCACATTTGTCAAGTCAGTGCCAGTCCAGCATCAGCCAGGAGAAATCATCCATTTAAAGCCTGGAGCTGCACATGACAATTTTCCTACCCCTCATGAGAAATCCAGTCATGGCAGAGGTAGCTTTGTGTGTTACTTGTTTGACTCTTGCTTTGAGCAGCAGTGTCTTATTATACACATGGATTAAGAAAATGCATAGTGGGATGCATTTTATAAAATAAAATGGAACATTTTCTCTTTATTACTGACATATACAAGGCAACGCAGATATGTGTTGTAGGTTGTTTTTAGCAGTATGTTGGTGGCTTCTATCCTTGTGATTGTGATTTAATTTCAATGTCTGTGGTCATGTGGTATTCTCTGCTGGAGCCAATCTTTCACAAGGAGCAAGTTCATTTAAATGTAAATGGGGTCCTGTGGATGGAAAAAACTACCTACTTCATGTCTTCAGTGACCCACCCAAGCATTTGGTTTGGCCTTCCATGCATAAATAATAACAAGAAGGTATGCTGTCATTGCCTTGCTTGAAACACCAGAAGTGGTTTGGCACAGCAAAAAAACCAAGCACTAAAAGGGAGGTTGGTTTGGATAAACTCACAGTTCGGATCCCCATCCTGATTAAATAGTGTAAGAAGAAAAAAAAAAGGGGGGGGTGGGGTGGGAAGAGAGAGAAAGTTATGGAGTTATTTTGAGGACTTGTGAATTACAGGAACAGATGAAAACCAACTCAGGCTAAGAACATACCATACCTAAAAATACTCTGAAGTAGCAGAAAACTTGTCATTTTGCTAACTTGAATGGATTTTTGCTCTTAATTGTTTGTAGCAATTTGCAAGAGTGGGATGAGAATGTGGTATAAGTGGTAATATAATTAGCATTAATTTAGCATGAAAATGCAAACCTACTTTTTCTAAGTAGTTACCTTCCCTTCCACTAAAACATAGAAATATATTACATAACTCTAAAGTATGTGTGGCTTTTTTCAGCGTGTTATTAAATACGATAAAATAGAATGCTTTTTCTTTATTACTGATGTATGTAAGGAGATATGAATGATTGTGCACCTTCTTTTTATCAAAATCTTTGTGGCATATATATTTTCACGCTGCTAAACTCATGTGTTGTCTTCTCATAGAAATACTCCAGGTGCATTTCAACAGAACTGAAAAATCCCCCTTATAAATTTCCTTTCCCACCAAGCAAAATCATAAACAGCTTTTCATCTGTGTGGATGAATAGATATATTTTCAGAATTATTTCATTAAATACACACTTTTATTTATCTCATTTATTAAGAATGTTATGTTCTGTTGCAGATGTTTCAGGGCATGACACATGGGCTTGGAATCTCAGTGTATGATACCTTTGGTGAAACTCACTTATGAAACATCCAAACCTCCAGTTAGTTGTGCTCCGCACTAGGAATTTAGCAGAATTTTGACTTTGTTCCAGAGCGTGTAATAAAGGACTGGTATTTACTGTTTTCAGAGATTTCTCAAGAATATTTGATAAGCTTTTCTCTTCGTTTTGTAAAGTAGCATTGGTTCAAGATGAGCTAGATTTAAGCAGTACAAGATTTGCTATCCAGGGTAAGAAACAGGATATTAGTGTTTACGTTACTCAGCTATATTAGGTGTAGCTGTGAATCAAATAATTTTGTCCTGGCGGCTTCAAAACTTAAAATGTTCATCTGTTGGTCCCTCTTCCTTTATTTCATTGAGCTGGTTAAGTAACAATAACCAAAGCTCTGTGTTTAGTTTTCGTAAAGATTCCAGTGAAATAAATGCATTATAGATACATAGTGGCTGAGCTAATGCGTTTTTCTATCTGACATATTATTCACCATTGGGGCATTTACGTGTTGTGCTGTTTTTCATTATTTGGTTACATTCCACACAGACTGATTTTCACAGAACCTCTTAAGTCTTCTAGATGTATTTGCTGACAACCCTGTATTGTTAGAATTTTTTAATCAAAAAAAATTGAGCTCAAAGACTGTCATGACAATTCAGAGGTAGAGGTGCTTCCATTCTGCTTCTCCTGTTAGAAATCTTAGCAGCACACATGATACCTGAAAAGCAATGTTACTGGTTGCAATGTGGACAACATGCCGTTTTTTTGGTTTAGAATATGTAAAATTATTTTTCCAAGTGCTTTTTGGTTACCCTGGTGATTTGCAAGACTGACTTACAAAATTATTGGAGAGACAAGTCCACCTCCTAATTCACTAGTCTAAAGGAACAGAGTTGAGAAAGCAGTGCAAATGTCAAGCACTTCATGAGAGAGAGCAAATCCTTTGGTGGGTGGTACTAGTCTTTTATAACTGTTGAAGATTTTTGAAGACACTTTTGCAAAAGTGGCATTGCAATAGTGATATAGAAAATAATCTAAAGATCATTGATAGACTAAGAGCAGATACTGTGTTTTAGCAAAATATGAGGTTTCTTACATAACGATAAGCTATGATGGAGAAAGAGATAGTATCACCACATTGATTAATTTTAAGGGAAGTTAGAATTAGAAAGCTCTTTGAATAAGGCCTTTAGAAAGAAGGATCTCTTGGTTAATTTGTGCTAAACTGAATTAATGTGGTTCTTTCAAAACAGCACTATATCATTTCATGGATATCGTGAAAATTATGAGCATCCTTAATTCAGCCATTTTCTTTAGTAGAAAATTTAATGGGATCCCCTTTTGGAAGTGATTGAAAATCCACTTAAAAATGGGCAAACAAATAAATATTCAGCCTTTGCTCAAAAAAGACAAAGGGAAAGCCTTTCCCCAGAAAATTGGTCATAGCTTTATTAATACAAACACTTAACTACGAAGAACCAAGGCATTTAGTGCCTAAATTTGTAGCTTGTAAGATGGTATCTTCCTGTAACATTGATATTGCTCCCCAAATCCTGCAGCAAGAGAACTGACTAAGGTATCCAAAAGGCAAAAAAACCCAGATTGCTCACAGGTGCCAAAGAATCTGTTTACAGCCAGCTTGCTAGAAAGGAATGAAATCCACTTTGCTTGCAACCATTTTCAGTTTGGGAGGTAATACATGTGAAACTTCTTGAGGTCTAAATATTGAAGCATAAACCCATAAATATGGCAGGAATGATAGAATTAATGATGTCTGGCCCAGGTCAGGAGACAGAGGCCAAGTTCCTAACTGTATCTGTAGCTTCCAAGAGGGTGAGCTGGCTCTAGGTTTAAGTTGGTGTTTCTGGAAACTAAGAATTAGGTACGGCAGTTTCTCCAAAAACTGACACAAACACAGGCACTACTGTTTTCCTGTTGCATTTAAGGTACATCCCATCATATTTTTCTAGACCCTACAATAACAAATGGAATTTCTGGTTTTGTTTTCTTGCACTTGTAAGCTTTGATAAATGTTACATATTTTTCTGCTGTCCATGTCCAATTTAATCAATATTATAAGTGCTCCCTTGTGGTAGGCGGAACGGTGGCAATAAAGTGAAATTTCCACAGCTTTTACCCATTGAAATTCTCAGAGGGCAAGATTCTTATAAACTTCACTTTGCTTCCTCTGTAATAGATTTAATAGCTCCATTCAGGAAGAAAGTTTGATGTGCTTTCTCATTTTCAAAATGTAGATAGTAAACTAAGCTTTATTCTCTCTCCAGCTCTTTAAGAACTTTTAACTCTTTAATATTCTTTTACCATGAGTGTTAACAAACGTGCTTGTCTCCAGAATTGCTCTGATGTCCCAGTGTGACTCTGCATTTGAAAATGGGGGAGTTAACTGAGGTAAATTTCAGCCATTCCCAAGATTTTTGAAACTGGTGTAATTTAGGTCAGCTTAAGGCTGTTTGGAATCTCTTATTCTACACACAGAAATTGCTAATGTCCACTTTGAATGAACCAGCTACATCGGCTCTGTGCCACTGGGCATCCTTTTCATTTTAAGGCTTTCCTCCCAGCCATTTAAACTGTCTTTTAGGCATCTGTGTGCTGCTGAAGCAATGAAAAACAGCCTTATCAAAACCTAAGATCTGGTCTTTAGTCCCAGAGTTCATTATAATAGTTTAGAACTTGTGTTGTGTGCTGCTTGTTGTTTTGGTGTCCTCTATTACAAAGAATTACTGTATTGTCTTCTTCCTTGTACAATGCATCATTTGGACTCAGCAGTCACTAGCAGAGTTCTACTTCATTCTTCAGGACTGATTATTTGTCTTATTAAATTCTCCCCTAACAAAGAAAAGTCTTGAAACACTGGAATCGAAAGAGATAGAGGAGTGTTCACACTTCTAAGACATACCACTGGTTCTAGCCTTTATTTATATTATATTACCGTTTCTGTTGGTATTACGCTCTTTCAGTGAGAAATAAACAAACAGTAGGAGGAATATTAAATAAGGGGTTTAGGCAAATTAGGTTAGATGAAGAAATGATAAAAAAGATTCAACACAATTCAAATGAAACAGCAGGGTTCTAAATGATACTGTACGTCTATAAAACCATGTATGTTGCTTCATTGTTACTTGGTAGGCCAACTGTTTTCATTTTATGTACCATAAAATTATTGTAACTGCATTTCTGCTTAAGCAAGGGTGGGGACAGTTTAAAATGGAACAAGCTGTGTACTGTTTTCTTAATCATAGGAGCCCTAGAATAATTATCAAACAGTGTTTTCCACAGGGTTGATCTATAATTCATCTGAGGAAGAAAACATCTTTCCAATAAAAGATTTTTTGTCCTCAATTTTTCAAGGGTTTCTTTTTATTATTGTCATTAACCCAATTATCAAATTTCACAACTTCTTCATTTCTCAACTACTTTTTTCATATGCTTGTAGCTGGAGGGAAAAAAACATAGGTGGAGACATTCAGTAAAAAGGTTTTTACAAGGGTTACAGTTTTTCTAAGTTACAGCCAAGAGAATTTAATTGGGGGAAGGTTTTTGGAGGGTGGCTTGTATTTTTTGACAGTTTGTAATATTTTCAACTCCGTAACTCAACAGTCATGAGACTGCATTAAAATTCCTAAGATTTATGAAGCGGTCAAATTTGAATTATCTGGGAATAAGTTACCTGGCTTGTAGCTTGACCGGAGCCCATCTGCTGCCCACTGGCTGCAGCCCATTGCTGCAGAATACGTGACACAAAATAAATATTGCTCCTACCAGGCCACTCTGCTCACTGCGATTTAATACTGTTCCTTCGTTCCATAGATAGCTATTTACAAGTGAAAGCAAGTGAATTACTTCAAAAGTGAATGTACTAAATGTGTTCTTTTAGTGTAGTTTACATATGGTTTTGCTTTATTTAAGTAACCCCACCCCTGTAGTGCCCTGGATAATTGAGGGTTGCTTATAACACATTTGGAGTTGAGTTTTACGCTTTCTTTTTGCTTAAGCCTTTAGAAATGGTGGTGGTGTTTTTTGGATTGTTTCTTCTTCTTCTTCTTCTGTTTTTCCCACAACTATGACATTGTTTTATTCTGCTTTTCTATCCAGTGAAAGTTCACGTTCTTGCATAACTCTGTAAGCTGAGATTGTGAGTATAGCACCCATCATGAGACCTTCAATAAAAGTTCCAAAAGCTGACCACTCTTGATACATTTCTGTGACAAGACACGTCTTCCGTGTTGCCAGCAGTAACGCACATCTATAACTTAGCTCGCAGAAGTACCTTCCCTGACTTTGATGGTTACAGGCTAAGCAGCAGGTCTTGGCTTCCAGTAAAGGGCCATTCTTTGCCCATGAGTGAATGAATGAG